CCAAAATCCAACAAAAGGCTTTAATTCTATTCGATATTGGTTCTCAATTATCGTTCATATCAAAGGATTTGGCTTATCGATTGAATCTACAAGAAACTAACGAGATGGAAATAAAAATTGCTTCATTTGGTGATAAGACGCCAAAAACGTGTATCACTACTAAAACTGAAATCGGAGTAAAAATTGGAAATAAAGAAATAATCCGATTAGATGTAATAACAGTTAACCACTTGACGAATGAATTGCAAGTAGTTAATCTAAACAAAAAGGAATTGTTGATGATAGACAAACGAAATCAGTTTAGTAATTTCAAAAACAAATGGAAACAACCGGACATACTCATAGGTGCGGATCACTTCTTCAAGTTCATCCAGTTTGACCAAGCAGAGAACTTAAAATCAGGATTTTCATTGATCCATACAAAGGTTGGACCTATAATAGCTGGAAGTGGGTATATAAATGAAATACACGACAGTATTTCAGAAACCACATCAGTAAGTCCGATTCTCAAGTCAATGCCGTCAATATTCCAGACTTAGATCACTTTTGGAAACTGGAATTAATGGGTATACAAGACAAAATAAACTCTGACAATGATGAAAAAGCATTGCAGCAATTTAAACAAACTATCACTAGGGACAAGGAAAGATATCAAGTTTGTTGGCCTTGGAAAGATTCAAAGAACAAACTAAGCGATAATTTCGGACTTTGCCTTGGAAGATTAAAGTCGTTAATTAGGAGGCTTCAAATGAAACCTCAATTACTAAGTCGATACAATCAAACTATTGAAGAACAACTCAATTCCAATATAATTGAGAAAGTGTCATCGGAAATGAATGAAGTTGGTATTATTCATTATCTGCCTCATCACGAAGTAATAACACCAAATAAAACCACGACAAATCTGAGGATAGTTTATGATGCATCAGCTCATTGTAAAGGAATGAAAAGTTTAAATGATGTTTTATATCGGGGACCAATAACACTCCCTGATTTGGTTGGAGTTTTGCTACGTTTCCGTACAATGAAAAATGTAATAATAGCAGACGTAGAAAAGGCGTTCTTGCAAATAGAATTGCATCCAACAGATAGAAACTGCACTCGATTTCTTTGGTTGAAAGACATTCGAAGTCCAGTTAACGAAGAAAACGTAAGTTGTTACCGTTTCCAACGAGTTCCATTTGGAATTGTATCATCTCCATTTTTATTGTCCGCTACACTCAATTATCATTTGGAAACTTGTAAAAGCAAAATCGCAAAGAAAAAAAAAAAAAATCTCTATGTCGATAACATTATAATACCAACCAAAGGAACCAACGAAGCTCTTTCCAATTATAAGGAAATTAAAATTATATTCAATGAAGCATCAATGAATGTACGGAATTTCTCTCTAACGACCAAGAAGTCAATGAAAAACTTCCGGTACAAGATCGAGCAGAGGTAAGTTCAATTAAAAAATTCTAGGTCTCAATTGGTACCACAAACAAGATATCATTCAAGTAACGTTAAAACCATGGTTTGGTAAGAAATTAACTAAAAGAATTATATTGCAATTCGTAGCCTCACAATATGACCCACTAGGATTCATAGTTCCTATACTGATAAGATTCAAATTGTTTCTCCAAACTTTGTGGAAAAAGAACCTTTCATGGGATCAAACTATAAGTGAGGAAGATGAAACCACGTGGAAATTACTCACGAACGAATGGCCAAAGAAACTAAAGGATCTACCAAGATTCACAACAAATTGTTCCAAGCAAGTACAATTTCATGTTTTTACTGACGCATCAACTGCTGCATACTCAGCAGCTTTATACATTCGAACTCAAGAAAGAGAAGTATTCTTAGTGTTTGCTAAATCCCGAATTGCGCCAATTAAAGGAATGTCAATACCTCGATTAGAATTACTGGCAATACTCATCGGAGTGAGAATGGTACAATTCGTATTAAAACAAAGGAGCTTGAGGACGTGATAACAATTTTATGGTCCGATTCTCAATGTGCGCTTCATTGGGTTCACAATAGTTCCCGTTTACTACCAACGTTCATACAAAATAGGGTAGAAGAAATACGAAAGGCGAAAATCCATTTTAGATATATCCCAAGTGAACAAACCCAGCTGATATAGCTACAAAAGGAATCTCTCCGAATAAACTAAAAGGATATGATCTTTGGTGGAAAGGACCAAAGTGGTTAACAGAAAACGAATCAAAATGGCCACAGTGGAAATACAATTACAATGAGGATTACCAGGATGAAGAAATTGTGGCCACATCACAGAACCATTATCATAAACAAACATTTCGGAATCTTAGATGCTAGTCGTTTTAGCAAATGGTCAAGATTAATAAGAACAACTGGTTGGGTTCTGAAATTCATAAGATTAACAATGAAAAGGGAAATTCCTTGGCTAAAGATGGCAACGAAAGAAAAGAATATATTGACAACACAGGATTACGAGTTGTCAGAAATTGTGCTATTCAAACAAGCACAGTCAGAAGGAGTTACCAAAGATGAAATAATCAAATGGAATTTGTTCTATGATAACGAACTATGGAGATACAAAAGCCGCGTAGTTAACTCTGAAATGAAGAGAGTAACTTACACCCAATATATCTCCCGAGACACAACACCATAACTGAACTCTTTATTCAGCAACGACATGAACAACTGTATCATGCTGGAATTGCTCATACACTCTCAAATCTGAGATCGACGATATGGATCCCAAAGGTAGAACGGAAGTCAAACGAATCTTGAATAAGTGCATGAAGTGCAGACGCTGGACAACTAAACCATTCAAATTACCAACTATGGCTGATCTTCCAGCATCTCGGACCACAAGATCAAGACCCTTTGCGCGAGTAGGACTAGACTATTTAGGTCCTGTGAATATCAGGAGTGATAATGGGCTAACAAAAGATGGGTAGCACTATTCACATGTTTCACAACAAGAGCTGTACATCTAGAAGTAGTAGAAACTCTTTCAGCCGAAAGCTTTTTACATGTTTTCAGAAGATTTACAGCAAGACGAGGCTTTCCAGAATTAATCTTAAGCGACAACGCTGGTCAATTCCAGTTAATTTTTAAAATCATTGTGAAACAACAATTAAATGAATTCCTAGCGGAAAGGAAAATGATCTGGAAAAATATAATACCAAAGGCGCCTTGGAACGGAGGAGTATATGAGCGACTTATTGGGTTAACAAAAGGGCAATGAAAAGAGCCATCGGCAGAAAGTTATTATGGGAACGGGAATTGATTACGCTAGTAGCGGAAGTGGAAAGTATTTTGAATACTCGACCACTAACTTACGTAAATTTTGATGATTGTATCATATTGCGTCCAATTGACTTTATACTACCGAATGCGCATCTAATCATGCCTGCTAAAAACAAGAATGAAATGGATGATTTTATCCCTCATAAATTGGATTCGAGAAAAACTCATTCAATACTGGTCAAATACACTAAAGGCCCTCGATGCCTTCTGGGAAATATGGAAAGAGGAATATTTAAATACTCTTAAAGAAAGAGCACAAAGGAACACTCTTCTCCGAGAGATGTAGTAAAAAGAACTCCCCACGAGGGAGAGATTGTGTTACTAAATGAACCAGAAATTCCCGTGGCATGTGGAAACTAGCCAGAATAAGAGAAATCAAAACAGGAAAGGATGGAGAAGTGAGAAGTGTCTCGATAGAATTACCGAAAGGAAAAATACTCAACAGACCGGTGAATATGTTATACCCACTGGAAGTCAAAGGTGAGGAAATTGACCCTCAACCAACAATGTTTAACAAATCAGTGCAAAATGTCAATGAACAAGAACCAATTGCTCTACGAACTAGAAGCGCTATAAGGCGAAGCAATCAACCAAAGCTGTCCAACGAACTAAAGCATTTAGCTCCTTCGGTCGGGAGTGTCGCGGATTTTAATATCGCGATCTAAAAATATGAGTTGCAAATTGTAGTAAAGATATCTACGTAATTTCCGCAAATAATGCTTATACTTCGGACTCTTTGTTTCCAAATTTATGCTTCTACATATTGAAACAATTTACATCGTTCTTTGTTAGCAATCCTTACAATCATGAGGATATCTACATTGTTCTTTGTTAGCTATCATAATCATGCGGTTATCTAATAAGCTCTTTATTAGCAACTGGTGCCCATGCAAGCACCTCCTCTCCTTTGTTTCGATCATTGTCTAACATCAATGTAGATTTATAACCATACTATTGTCAATTAGATCAGTTTTTAAATAACCAATCCTCCGAATCAGTTTTATTCAATTGTTGCCCAAATATTTAGCTGGCATCCAACACATCTCCCTGACATCAAACTTCTCCCCCGAATAACAATTTAACCAAATCATAAAGGTTTGTTTCCAAAAACATTTTTTTGCTTCCACTACACCTACAAACATTTATACTCACAGCATTAATCCATAATACCTATAACGATAATAGACTAAAGGAATGTGCAAATTAGTAACTACAAAGAAACATACAATACACAGAGAAGGCAACAATATATAGATAAAGTGGACAAAGCAATTTTTTCTTCGAAAAATAATATTGTAATTGTGAACCTATTAATTAATTAATTATTTAGACCATGAGATAAACATATAGCCATCCTTTAAACTGCTCAGATTCGATTTGATACAGCCAAGTGTTGCAAAATGCATTCATTGCGTACTTTTTTTCTTTTCTTAATAATCACATACATGCACAAATCAGAGAGTCTGTGAGAGTGTGCGTTAAGTAAGACAATTCCGCCTCCATTATTACCTGCATGTGATCTCATCACCGAAGCAACTTTATGCGCAAAATGGAAGATAACTTCATTGATTGACTTTATTTGACTTATTCCTTTTCTTATCATTTAACTTTTTACTTTTGTATTTTACCTTTATTAATGGGCAAATTGCTGTATTGTCGAAGTTACGTTTAACTATACTCTTGTATTTGCCGCCTATATCTATGGTTTTTCAGCAAATATGGCGCATGCTGAAGCGTACGGTCCAAATCTGCCAACATTTGCAGATTTGAAGAACCATCTGCGCAAGGAGCCGCTTTACTTCCAGGTGTTATGAACGTATTGGATTGGATTGGTTTACTTGCACTATTGAGTCGATCGGTCAATCTTGGGTAATTAAACCAAACAAGCAATCAGTAGTAGGACAATTTAGTGAGGAGGATGAGCTAAGCCACGGGGAGACTGGGAACAATGCCCGGTTGAGTGGTAATTGCCCTTATATAGGATGATTTGAGGGTGGAGAGATAAAGCGATTGATACAATGGAAGCTAGAGAAGGCTATGGGAAAGATAGTTTTTGTAAACGGAATTAGATATCAAACAAAGGATTGGAACAGATGTGCATTAGATAATATGACAGATTAGCATGGGAATTTGTTAACACATTACCATCTATGAGTCATCAAAGAATTTGAATTACAATAAAACTTACAATAAATGATTAACATGATTTGCTTAAATATAAATACATTGATTTAAATTTGACCTTTTGCTAAATTCGATTGTTCGGTACAAAGATTATTTCTAGTGGAATTTCGAGCTTGTTCTCGACACCAGGTATTGGAAGGATACCTGCAAAATACGGCCAAACTGGTATGTTTAATTTTGGTCTTGGATTTATTTACGGTATTATTCATTGAACTCTCTATTAATAATTGATTGGTATGATTTTTCAGATTGAGGATTTGAGGGAGAAGTTGGACAATGAAACGAATGAAGTTTCAACGGCAGACTTGAGAATCCGCCCAAGTCCTACGCCATCTCGGGAACAGATAGAAACGTTCCATCAATCCGGGGGAATCCAGTGCGATCTGGAGCGGGAAGCAGAAAATGAGGACCAGATCGCCCTCCACCTTCTCGAACAACAACAACAAGCTTTAGAGCAAGAGGAAGAACCAGTGCCGGCCGGCACTGGTAGACGCTCATGAGAGCTGTGAGGAGGTGGAGGAGATGGCAGAGGAGAGGCAAGTACCGCACAATTAGGAAGGTCTGCGGAAATTCCAGAACGCAGTGAAGCGGAAAGCATTCGCGAAATAGCACTGTAAGTTTCATTTCTAGCAATAAGAGTAATTAACTCTTCATAACTGCCTGAGTTTTTGAATCAAAGCAATAAGTTTAGCAAATGACTGCATTTGATGAGCAGTTAAGCTTACAAGAAGTAGTTAAAAACACTGAAATTTTGATATCTTATAATAAATGTATTTCAGGCGTTCACGGACGATACGGATTCCACAACGTGAGGCAAAGCCAGTAGTGCCGGAATCCTTTCATGCGCCGGCAGTGGAAGGTTTACCGGCGTGGTACCAACAACTGCTGGTGAGGCCACCGATTGACCCATACGTAGTTATTCGAAATGCTGATGGGTCAATCACAATTGGTAAATTTAAATTTATTTTATTAGTGCATTGAAAAGCTTTATGTGAATGATTTGAACGAGTCTAGTACGAATTTATTTTCATAGTGTGGAATTTGTCCGAAGGAATTCGGAACTTTGAAGGGATGGCGAATTCACGCCAGCAAAGTGCACAAAAAAAAAATGGTAAGTTTATTTTCAATCTTTAGTGCTACCTGCTTAAGTATGAGTAATTTTTGAAAGATTTACCTATTAATGTAATATATCTATTTCAGGCTTCTGTCAAAAATGCGGCCATTTCGTCGATATGCCGCATGTTCGCTCTGATGACGAAATTACAGTCATGATGGAGCTACATGCTTTGGAATGGTGCCCTAGGGCCACGAAGGCTGTTATGAATGACAGAGCTATTAAACGACGAAGACTTGAGTTGGTGGGTAGAAACGAAGAGGCCGAGCACTACTATATTCCCAGTAAGTAAAATGTTCCTGTCTAAATGATTCAAATATAAGAAATTATTGAAAAAATTATTTTAAAAATTGAAGATTCATTCAACCTTTAACTTACAGTTACACGTTGCAAAGCTTTCAGAAAGCAATGTAATATCAAATTTTATGTTAAGTTTTTGTTCTTATTTGGTAACTAATTATTAGATTTTTAAAATGAAAGAATGACAGTGTCTGAGATTAGAGTTTCTTATTTGGTATAGTATGACTGCACTAATTTTTGATTTTCATTAACTATTGAAAAATCACAATGAAAAATTTAATTGTCGTCCCTCTATTTAGTGAGATTTTTTCGAATTCAGTTTTCAGCCATTTGTAATTTCGAAAAAATTGCGCTTCTTTTGCACATAGCTTTTGATCCTTGATGCATTAAATTCGAATTTGGCTCTTTAAATTTCTTTATTTCATTGTGATTTTTATTTTTAATTATGTAATTCTACTTTTTTCATGTTTGATTTGTTTATTAATATGTCGAAAGTAAAAAAAAAAAGGTAAAAAGTAAAAAAAAATAAAAAAATAGAAAATATAAAGAAAAAAACAAAAATGAAAAAAGAAAATAAATAAAAACAAAAAATAAAAACCAAAATTAAAAATCAAAAAACGGAAAAAAATAAGAATAAATAAAATTAAAAAATAAAAATAAAAGGATTTAATGGCATTATTAATGCTTGGCTTGTTGTTTATTAATTCTTGCATTTTTTTGTTTATGTTACTTATCGTTTTTTATAAAATATTTTTATCACTATCATACTGTCATGTTTCACTTATGCCGTTAATAATTCTTTCTGGATTTTATCAGTATTAGTATTCATTTGTTTTTTTATTAATTTTTTTGAGTGTTTTTTATTAATATTCTTTTTATAATTAATGTTATTCCTAACAAAAACAAAAATGAAAAAAGAAAGTAAAAAAAACAAAAAATAAAAAAAACAAAAAAAAGACCAAAAAAGAATCAAAAAAAAATTATGTAATTTATGTAAATCTTTATTTCATTGTGATTTTTACTTTTAATTATGTAATTCTACTTTTTTCATGTTTGATTTGTTTATTAATATGTCGAAAGTAAAAAAAAAAAGTAAAAGAGTAAAAAATATATAAAAAAATAGAAAATATAAAAAAAAAAAAACAAAAAATGAAAAAAGAAAATAAATAAAAACAAAAATAAAAAAAACCAAAAAAATTAAAAAATCAAAAAAAAACGAAAAAAAAAATTAAAAAAAAAAATAAGAATAAATAAAATAAAAATATTAAAAATAAAAGGATTTAATGGCATTATTAATGCTTGGCTTGTTGTTTTATTAATTCTTGAATTTTTTTTGTTTATGTTACTTATCATTTTTCACAAAATATTTTTTATCACTATCATGTTGTAATGTTTCGCTTATACCGTTAATAATTCTTTCTGGATTTTATTAGTTTTTTTTCTTTAACTAATTTTTTTTGGAGTGCTTTTTTATTATTATCCTTTTTTGTGATTATTATTATTCTTTCTACTTTTGTGTGGAGGTCAAGAATCACTGTTATAATTATGCACATAGATTTTTTTCTTTCATATCGGTTGATAATAGTTTTTGGTCACCAAATTATTTGGATGAAATTTTTTGCTTTTATCTACTAGGTGGTCTGACTGAATTTAGTTTTCTTCTTATTTCCTGCAGATTGATAGTTTTAGTTTTATTGAATTTAATGCATTTGCACATTGAGCAGTATTTGCAGAACTGCAAATTATATTATATTTTTATTTATGAACAGTTTTTTCATAAAATTTTCTAAAATTTTTGATTTTATTTCTATATAATGCACCTTTTCCTCAATTAATTTTCTTTTTGTTGATTGCATCCTAAGTTACTTATACTTGTATTCATTGTTTGCCTTTTAACTTTAACTTTTTTTCATTTCTTTTCTTACTGCATGCATTTTTAGATTTGTTTTGCATGATTTTTATTTTAATCACTTTTTTTTCACTTGCTTATTCTTTATACATTGAATTTTGTTATGCTATAATTAATGTTTATGAGTTATTATTTTGTTTAACTTCAAATATCATTTCATCATTTCTAATGTATTTGGAATTTTAGCAAGGAGTTATAAATTATTTGTGTGAATAGCAATGCCAAGATTTAATCAAGGGAAAAAAATTACTCAAAACTTGTAAAAAGAAAAAAACGTGTTAAAAAATCAAACCAATATTTTTCGAATTTAACAATTAAGTAGCTTAGAAACTATTTATTATTTCCAGGTTTTCAGTCTATTTTTAAATTAATTTCTTCTAGTCAAAATGAATTAGAAATTATTGCAATTCTCTTATAATAGCGCAATTTGTTTCAAAGAATGTCACAAACTGAAGGAAATATTTTATCATAATGATAATATCTGATAATTATCAGGCATATTTAGCAATATAATTTAAATTTAGGAGAAAATGATGATTTTAAATGAAATAACCAAAAGATTTTTCATTATTACTTCTGCTATTATCTTGCAACAATACTAACATATTTGGTACGAAAGTTCGGAAATCATCGTTGCATCATTTGCCGACCATAGAATATGATCGTTTTTATCAAATGGAAATGGATAATATTTCGATGTCACAAAATTATTCAATTTTATTGAATAATTCAATGAATAAAAACTCAACAATAGCAAATAATATCATGCAAATGCAATCAGCAGCATTTAAAAATACTTATCAGGAAGTAAAAACTGATTGGGTATTACAACGAATTGATAATTTTAATCCAGATGATAAACGAGAATTCAAACAAGTTTCTTTTTTCACTTTTTTTTTTTAAAAAAGAAGAATATAAATTATAATCATAGAATATTTGCAAATTATTAAATCATTTTCTATAACAACTTCCAATATTATAATTTAAAATGATGAATTTTTCATTGCTTTATCAATAATTTTAAATTTATTCCATTCGTAATTTTAAATCTTACTGTAATATTTTTTAAAGCTCAAATAATTACAGCGTTATATGTCTAATTTGGAATTTTACAATAATTCTGGTTTGGCATTTTAAAACTTGGTGGTGAGAAGGGAATTACTAAATCAAAGATTGGTAATGCAATGAATCCATTGCTGATATTGGCTAAGAAATATGGCGCTGCTTGTTTTTGTTTAGAACATCGTTTTTTGGAGCAAGTCAACCATTTGAGTAAGTAATTCATAAAATTTACTAATTACTATGTCAGTAATTAATTTTTACAGTAAAATATATGCAAGGAGGAGCAATAATTTTCATTACACTTTAGATTATCCTTAAACTTGGTGATGAAATATGGAATTTCAGAGATCACTCAATCAAAAGCTATAAATACTTAACAATAAATCAAGCATTAGCTGATATAAAAAATTTTATTGTTCATATGAACGAAGTATTTTTCTCGGGAATAGAAAAACCACGTTGGATACTATTTGGTAGTTCCTATTCTGGTAAGTTAGTTGGTTTTTATTTTTCAGTTTTTGACAGTATGAAATGAAATGGTAAAATTATAAAATATGTTTCGTATTAACTTTTATCAAATTTTTAATCAAATATTTAAACAGATCAAAAAATTTGAGTACTTTTTTCTTTGAATTAATTTTTTGTATATGAATTTCAGGTGCACTTGCAGCATGGTTTCGTGAAATGAACGAAGATCTTACTATTGCAGCAATTGTATCATCTGGTGTGGTTCAAGCTGAAGTCGATTATTATGGTAAAATTAAATTAATTCAAAAAAAAAAATTTTAAGGTGCAAAAAAAGAAAGAAAACATTTTCGCTCATTTTCATATTAATCTAGCTAAAATTTTCATATTAATCTAGCTAAAAAATTAAAATAGAATTTTTTTTTATTTAAAAAAGAGGAAGTTTCAGATCATACCAGAAATTTGGAATATGTGTTGAAGGAGGAGAATGCACCGTGCGCTGAAACTATTCGATTGAGTATGAAAGCACTGATTGAAAAAACATATACCGCAGATGGTAGGGCAGAACTAGGAAAGGTTTTTAAGTGAGTTTTTTTTATTAAAATTTTTTCATTTCAATCTTTAATCTTTTCTTTCCTTTTTCTTTTTGATTTTTTCAAATCTTTGATCGATCCTTTCTCGGTTATTTTTTTTTTGCCATCAATTTATTTAGATTATTTTAATTTTCAATTTATTTTTTTTTCTTCTGCAGCATGTGCGAACCATTCACGGAGCCACCAATATCAAAAGATATACAATTTTTTCTTGCAAATGTTTTGTCTGTATTTGGTAGTTTTATACAGTATGCAGGAGGATGTGTAAATTTTATTATTTGTTTTTTTTTTTTTTTCAAAAATTGTTTACAAAATTTTATTTACTAAAGATTTCAGTTAAAGAAAGAATTGATAAAATTGCAGCGAATTCCGATGTGTCTTATTTTTGTAATCTAATAACGCATGGTGGTGACACAGATGGTATTGGGATAATTTGGAGTGCCTGGAAAATTTATGATCAAGTATTTCGATTTGAAGAATGTTTTGATCAGAGCTATGAAAACCATTTAGAAGATTTGAGTGATATCAGTTTCGTGGATAATGAATTTGGTTACTTTTATTTGTTTGATTGAAATTCGTATTACTTTTTCTGAAAAAATTTAAACATCTTTAATTAGTTTTTTCTTCTATTGAAAGCAGTAATAGGTAATAAAAGATTTGAAAATTTTCAGAAAGTTAAATCTAAAATTTACACGGAAATACTAATTTCTTTTCTTATTTTGTGAGCTTGATTGCTATGATAATCAATTAATGTTAATTTTTCAAACCAACATAAAAATGATATCATTGATAAGCTGATAGCTATTATTAAATTATTTAACAGCTAACACAATATTTTTGCTTTCTAATTTGTTGATCATATTAAATTTTTTTCCTAATACATTGTTTAAATTTATTTCTGTAAAAATCAACTTTTTATATTTTCAACTTTAGCATCGTATCGTAGTTGGCTATGGCTTTCCTGTACAGAACTTGGCTTTTTCATTACAACAGACAATGGAAAAAGCATATTTGGATCATCTGTATCACTTGAGTAAGATTAATAACTAAAAAAAAAAAAAATCCATCAATTTCTTTTTGATCTATTTATGAAGCTTTCTACTTCTTCATTTTTAAGTTAAAAAATATTTAAAATTATTTTTCTTTCTAGTTTAAATAAAATTTCTTAAAAATTTAATATTCAAATAAATTAAACATGTTTCAAATTGCAGTTATTTTATCGATAAATGCATGGACGTATTCGATGTGCAGTATGATGCGGAACGTGTTCGTGATGGCGTACGCAATACATTGCGTACATTTGGAGGTTATGATAATTATAGAGTAGGTTACTGTATTCCTTGGCTACAGTAATCATACAGCATGAATTTTGTTTTTATCTTGTATATTTATGTGAAGTTTTCAAGGGTAGCAATACGATATTTGCAACTGGTTCATATGATCCATGGAAATCAGCTTGTTGTTTGAATTGTACTGATATTACAAGAAATGTTTACTCTTTTATAATTGAAGGTAAAATTTATTTAATTTTAAATTAATTAATCGATTGTTTCATTAACTTAGAGCAAACAAAAAAAAAAATTCCCATCGATATAAATACCTTGCAACATTTTAAAAATATTTTCTAGTCTTATTTTAAAATTTCAAGAAAATTTTTCTAAATTAGGGTGATAACCGATTTTATTGATTGAATAAGTTAAAATAATTATTTTCTAAGCTAAATTATTGCTAAAAATTTACTATTGTCTATATTAACTAGAAGCTTTTCAGGTGGTTCTCATTGCATTGACACATGTCCTGTCAATTTCATCAATTTACCAGCATTAGATGATTATCGAATATTTCTTGATGAAAAATTAGAAATATTTATTGCGGAAAGCTCTACAACCAATGATAGTTACAATAGCAAAAACAATAATAGCAATAACAATAACAATTAAAACAGCAAATTTGGTTTGTAACAAAAACTATAATATAATTTAAATTTCATAAATTTCACATTAAAGCCATTTAGGTACGATATTATATTTACTAATAAATGAATATAAAAGCATATGAATAAAAATAATTTGTAAGCCATTTTCATTTCAGGTTCCATTAACAGAATTGCTCATTCAATTGATCATATTTTAATGTAATTCAATTTATAAATATTAAGAAAAAAAAAATTTGAGAAAATGCCGTCATTGTGTGAAATTTTATTGTAAAATTGATCAATAATTGATTAAATTGAGTACTAATTAAAAATAATTCAGGAATTATCACTAATCATTTTCAAAAATAAAGAGGAAAAATTTTTTCAATCAAAAACTTTTTAATTTCAAAAAATTATGCAAAAAGAAAAGAATACTTTTTCTGCTCTAAAAAAAACTAAATTTTTAACGATGAATAGATGAACTTAAATGAAATGACTGACGCAAATGATTCGTTATCAGTTGTTTCTTATTATTCAGTTGTTTCTTATTATTTATGATAAAGTTATTTCCTTGCTAATACGGTAATTTCAGTAAAAATAAAATGTGTAATTAATAAACGATCATTTCTTTATTGATTTCTGTAAATTTAACACAATCTGTAAAAATTAGTTGCAAAAAAAAGTTGGTTTTCTCTTTTTATCTTCCTTTCATGTTTTTATCATATAAATTTCTCAAAAGTATCATTTTTTTCTTTCAAAATAAGTTATGCATATATTATTTATTTATTCGCAATACTTTTTCATATTTTTTTGTAAAAGATTAACTTTGTCTTTGTTTTGATGTGTATTTTAGAGAGTGTAATTTGAATATTAAATGCGATAAATGTTTTTTTTTTTAACGAATTATAAACAAAAGAATGATTGAAATAAATCATTTATAAAAAGTTAATTGATTACATTTATAGTTTAAGTTAAGATTTACTAGGAATTTATATCAGATTAATGTAGTTTAACATTTTTCTTTTTTTATCAATTATTTTAATGATTTCAATTTACAAATAAATATTGTAGAGTAGGAAAATTGATAATAACTAATGAATAATTTAAATCAAAAGATTATTTAATTACATTGCTGAAATGATCGAGTTATTGATAACTTAATAAATTGCTATTAATAAAAAAGATTGCGATAAACTTAATAAGTGATGAAAGTAAGTAAGATAACCTAACAGCTTATTTGAGAAAAATTATTATTAATTCCGATGAAGTTTCACATTACAAGTGAAACTTACTTATCAAATTCAGCATGCAATCATCTGTGCTCATTTAATTGCAATTGAAGAATTGTTTAAAATGAAACGAAAGCATTTTTAAAATATGCAAAGCATTTTAAAGATAATCAATCATTGCTCTCTGACTTAGCTTAAATTTCAATGCTATTTAAAGCAAAAATTTTAATTTTTAACTTAAGTGCTAAAGAACATATCGAGAAAAGCACTTCTCCCAAATGACTTATTGATCATTTCACTTCGCACTTATTTTTTTTTTTTTATTATTTTTTTGCAGGCATTTTTCAAACAATAATCATCCATGGAATAAGTTTTTTAAATGATTAAAATTACTATCAAATATTGCTAACTTTAATAATTATATTAAATTAAACGAATGATATTAAATAAAAATTAAATTTGTTTAATTTTTGTTTTCTTTTTAATAACTTTTAATTACAAAGATATTTCAATCATCGACATAGCAATTTAGAGAGTTTCAGAAATATTGGAAATGATCAATGATTAATGACCGACTATTGATTAACTGCAAGCAATTATCAGCGTTTATTCTTTTAACAATTAAACAAGAAATCATCGAAGAAATCAAACCAATTTGTACACTTTATTTTACTCTTTCGTAAAGCATTTGAAATAAATTGATAATGTGATAAGCAAATACTAGCAAAATTAATTGTTATCAGAAATGTTTAATTTTATACAGCAACAATAATCATCTTCCAATCTAATTAATTTTCAAAAAAAAAAAAAAAAATTAATTTTCACTTATAAATTTAGCATTGAATTAATTACTTAAATATAACATCTGAACAT